CACATTTGAAATAATTTCCATGCAATTCATATAACTGCCTTTATATACATATATCTATTTGTGCGTATGTATTTGTGCCAGAGATGTTGTACGCTTGCATCTGAGTGCATAAATATATTTATGCAAATCCTAAACGCTTCAGGCATTTATTTTCCTGCTCAACATTCTGTAAATGACACTGCTCTAGTTAATATATTGATTAATATATTGTATTCCTTATTGCATATCTTGGGATCAAGTTAATACTTTGATGAAACATGAAAGATAAAAAAAAATTATTATAATAAATAATCTCTATTCAATTTATAATTCACATTTTATCCACGAAATTCTTTTCCCCTAAAGAGTGTACAATATTCAGCTTAAATATGGATGTCCTAGCTTTGTAATTTTCGTAGCATACTTAAGTGCGTTTGATTGTCTGCATGCGTGTCTGTTGGTCGAAAAGTGTGCTTTGCATCTGAAACTGAGCCGGTAAACATTTGCAAAAGAGCTTAATTTGTTTATGCACGGCAAACAAATTGTTGCAATAATGAAAATTCCATATGGCACTGGCTTACAAGATCTTAAAGCAAAGCCCGAAGAAAATGAAAATGGAAATGTTAATTTAATTGCGATGTTAACTTTCGAGCCAACTGCAATAAGATAAAAGATCATGGTTATAAAAACACAAAATTGTGCTCAAACTTTGAGAGCAAAATTAAAAAAAAAATTTTCAGGTTAGGCCAACTCTGACACAAAACTTGATGTCTCAAGTGTGAAGTGAAATTCATATACACAGAGAGCGAGAGAGAGGGAGAGAAAGTGTGTGTGTGTGCGCTGCGATAAAGATGGGGAAGCACACATAAGTGCAGTTTCCGTCTTTGACTCGGCACATAAATCTTAAGACAGTCAACGACATCATATGCCAAGTCAGCGAGGTCAGATGAACTCGCACTGCGCCAAGAGTGGATGGGCTTGTGGACTGTGGGAGATGTTTTCCCAAAAATTATATGCCGCACGAAGTCTGTGAAGAAAGTTTATGCGCATTTCATTCTTCGCATAATTGTGAGGAGCAGAGACAGAGGGACAGACGCAGAGCACCAAAACGAGCAGCTGCAACTCGAGAGGACGAAGTGCACGTTGCCGGTTTGAGGAAACCAATTTGTGGTAATTGTCGTGAAATTGCAATTCCTGCAACTGTAATGGGCCAAGTGCAGCTACAGTTGCGCCACAGCCGAAAAGCGAGACGGGCCGTGACTTGGTTAAATGAGGTCCCAGCAAGTGTAATTCGCTAAGAAAACTCCGAGTGTGTGGGTGTATGGGCGACTGAACTGAGTTGCGTTCAGCTGAAATAATGCACTGGCCGTTAAGGTCTATGCATGTGAATGCACAAATCACAAATATGAACAGGTTGAGTTGCTGCTTGTAGAAGTATAAAGCGCTTTAAAAATATATTGAGGGCAAAAGGGAACAAAATAAAAAGTGGCCCAAATGCGCAGCTACAAAGACAATGAGCTAGCGACAATAATGATTTTAAAAAAAATAAATAAATAAAATAAATTAAAATAAAATACAAAATACAATAAAAAACAAACGTCTTCTAAATAAACGTTACATGATTTTATGGTAACGTTTATACTAAAAATATTATTTTTTTTATATTAATAATTCGTCACTTTTTAAATTTATTGTACATTAAAGATCAAAGGCCACAATAAAAGTATTTAAATAGTTTATTATTATTGAACTTTTTATTCTGTTACTTGACTAATTTGAAAAAAAAAGAACTATAAATCCTTATAAATAATTCAGATTAAAACTAACAAATTATTGTATTAATTTTTCTCTATAGACCATCACCAGCATCAGTAGCATTAGAAAATATTTTCACAGCTAAATTAGACAGACTCTTAAGCTTATCTGTGTCCGATCGATCCGTCTTCTATTTTCACCCAAGTCCCATAGACATTGATTTCTTAAACGCTTGCCAAATTTATATGAATCTACTAAAACATTATATTTTATGTTCCAAATGAAGTGCATACGAGTTGGCAGCAACCTAACACCGCCATATATTGATGTTGCTTTATCGTTAGCTGAAATTTACGGCATGCCAGTAGCAGCGAATGCGCATTCGCGGATACAATGCAGATACTTGTAGATACCTGCAGATACTTAAAGATACTTGGCTTGGCTTTGCCAGCTTTATCGGTGCAAAATCACGTGCGCATAAAACTTTCCAATCAGCAATGGTCACACACACACTCTCTCTCGCTCTCTCGCTCTCTCTCCCTCTCACACATATCCGTATGGCAGCTGCAAAAGAGGTGCTTAACAAGCTCTCAGCAACAACATCGTTGCACCTGTCGCTGAGTCAGTTGCAATAAGTTGGTTCGTTTTTATTCCTTTCTCATTTGTTATTTCTCTTTTTCTTCAGCTTCTTCTTCTWTTTTGTCATAGTTTGCGTTATCTTTTGCTAGCGAGAAAGTTGGAACTTGAAATGGCAAATCCATACAATAAATATATAAAATGTTACTTTCTGTGTCACACCTGAACTAACCTCAAATAAATTTCCCGCACATGTGTCAGGCAGGCAGGCAGGCAAACAAAAGAATGAACAAAGTGCAATCCATATATGTGTGTATGTATGTATGTATTTGGCACTAGGAGTGTGTGTTGAAAAACTTTCTGTTCGATAAGAGACCAGCGGGCAAGACCTGAGGCTGCAGCTGAGTGCTATGCGTCGCATACAGCTCCCCCCCCCCCCCCCCCCCCCTTTTGCCCCTCCAGCAACGCAAATAACCTTCGTCTTGCAGGCGAAACGCAACAATTTCCAATCACTTCCGTTGCAGCGACACAATTTTCTATATTTATACTTTACGACAGCAGTTCAGAAGCTCGTCTTCTCCCTCCCCGTCTAATAAAAAAAAAATCGGGCTAAAGAGGGACAACGAAAAAATGTTGAGAAACTAGCTAAAACAAGGCAAAGAGCGAATGCTCTAAAAAACTATGTTTTGTGAGCTATATCAAAACTGTATATCGAATATCCTTCAAGTAGCAGAAAATTAAAAATTATAAAAAAATAACTACAAAAATA